CGGATGAGATGTCACGTCGCCACGAAGCGGTAAGCCGTTCCAGAGGGGACAACAAAGACAGCGTCTTCCTTTGTAGAAACGGCGACCGCCGCCACAAAGTGCCCTGCTAATTGAGCGGACAGATTGGCGGACCGTTTGATGTCTGCTGTCCGAAGCTTGGAACCCCTCGACCAGCGACATACACGACGAGCAAGAGACTCTTTGGCGCCACCTTTAAGTGCAGTGATCTTGACTCGAAATTGGCTGTTCACGTGCGCCGTGCATGCTCGTACCCCTCACCTGTTGTGTGTGTATGTGATTGGTGTTCCACTGAAGAAGGGGGAGCCCGACAGGGCTTATAACGGCGCCGCAGAGTGCAGGACGTCGCTCTGAACCAACTAAAGGTTTAACCACCACGTTCGTAGTGTGTGAACGCTCTGAACCAAGGAAAGGTTTAACCACCACGCTCGTGGTTTGTGAACTCTTAACCTCATGCTGTAAATATTTGTAAATAGTGCCATAAACCTTGTTTGTTTTTCGTATCCCCATCTTGTAAGCGGTCGTTTCCTCAACCCGAAGCTACACCACGCTACCACAGCTCACCGGGATCGCAACAACTGGTGATCAGCGGTGGGATCACGACAACTGGTGGCAGCGGTGGGATTCGAAGCTACAAGTGACAACAACAGTCGGCCCAGGAGAAGCAGCTGGCTCGAGACATGGATCACGTATGGGTGAGTGCTTGGCTTTTCCTTTGAGTGAACCAGGTTCTAAAAGAGGGTTAAATTTTAGAACTGGTAGTTAACTTTGCCGAAAGACTCAGTTTCGCCGTTTCGGAAAGTTATTTTGGAAGTAGCGAGCACTCAGTACGATCATGGACTTACGGGAGCTGCAGAAGTCAGACTTGTTGCTGTTGTGTGAGGAATTGGGGATCGATACAAAGGGTTTGGCACGAAAACCCATAATCATTCAAGCGATTAATGATTTGGGGGCTGATGATGAGGAACTAAGTGAAGAATGGGACCTCATCATCGAAAGAAAACTAAGAGCAGCTCAGATGGAAGGAAAGAGTGAACACGAAAGAGAAGGCCTCAAGAGAAAGTTTTTCAATCAAGACTATGAGTTGAGTATGAGGTTGGGACCCCAGCGAGGAGTACTTCTCGAAAAGGAGGCAGAGTTCGAGATGTCTAGGTACATGCAGCCATATGAGGTATCATGGGATATGGGCCTGTATCTTAGACTCTTTGAACGAAAGTGTAGTCAACTTAAGTGTGAGCGAGACACCTGGTCTCAGAGGCTACGCACGGTTCTGCCCTGCGAGGCAGCGGATGTTGTTGCGCGACTCAGTGAGCAGCACGCGAACAACTACGAAGTTGTGAAAGCAGAGCTAATCAGAAGATTTGGAACTTCTATTAGCAAAAAGAAAGAAAGACTCGCACCGGAGTCTGAAAGCGAGGCGCGTCGCAAAGCGCTGGAAGTTGAGGCGCCTGGTAAAGCGCTTGAAACAGATATCGCGCCAGAATAAGGCCCGCGTATTCTCGAATGCATCGATGTAGAGCATGCAGAGAACGAGGCCTTGGCCGGTCTCGAGGTAGGGACGATGTCGAAAGACGCTCCTTGCGTGGATGAGGAGGGTGCCAGCAGCCCTGATGGGCCCAGTAAGAGGCTGGAAACCTTCTTCATGCCTCAAGAGGACCTTTGGACATTGTCAAAAGTAGGCATGGTTAGCGCAGTGGCTGATGAGAGCAAGAACGCCATGCTTCAGCAGTGCAGCCCTATTATCGAGGTGATTTGCGAACATCGCAGAAAAAAGAAGCGGAGGCGTTCGTCACTGAGCAAGCCTAGGTCAGGCCCCACTCAGTCGCAAGAAAGACGAGAGGGTAGGCCGTTAATCCGTTCCAGGAAACGTCCATGGTGGCGTTCCGAGAGGTACAAGCGGCAAGCCAGGTGTAGAGGGGGGAAACGAGGTGCGTTACCCCAACGAAAAGCGCGGTTGCGTTCGACAACTTCGGGAAAGCGGCCTTGCCTGAAGAATCAAAGTCGAAAGGGCAGAGTGGCTAAATACCGCGCAGGGTTGAATACAAAGAGAAAATGGCACAGGCTCCCTCCGAGCTACTGGCGTCACTTTCAAATTCCTACGGGGAATAGGACGAAGTGCAGAATGAGGCGTGACGGCAGGACACAGCCTAACGTTCGTTTGTTTACTAGCCTCAGACGTGCAGGAAAACCACCGGGACCGCGACCCCATCGTGTACGATTAAAGGAACCAAGAGAAAAGGGGGTGGTCAGATTGAGTAACACATGCTTATTTCGTATGGTTACTTAGTTTTACTTTGTAGGTGTAATTTCAGTACTTTTAATTTTGTAAGTGACGTAATGCGGTGTAAATTTTTCAGAAGGGAAACCGCCGAACCGAAGGCTGAAAGTTAACATCGATTTGCTTTAATCATTAGGGCTAATATGTACCGAAGGTAAAAACTGGAAAATTGTTATTTTTCTAGTATTTTCAAAGGCTGAGAGTAATTTCGTATGCCTTCATTGTCATGTGGATTTGTCGTGAATTAGCATTTGGAGAAGAAGTTACCATAGGCCGAATAATTTCATAAATTGATTAAGTTTGGCGCGACACGGTAGAGTTGTCGTTACGCACTAGTAGTATTGAGAACATTCTAGTGCACTGTTTTAGCATAAAACCTAAGCCATTGTTGGGAGGTGCTTTAAGGACTATTGCACCTAGGTTTACTTTTGTGTTGTACACGGTGTGTTACAACGTAACGTTTGAATGAATTTAGACAAACTGTAAACGATTAAGCTTTTGGTTAGTAGTGCCATGAATTTTGCAGCGCCGTAAGAATGAGAATAATTGAAAGCGCTCAAAAGAACTCAGTGTTTTGTTTTTTTATCAAAGGTGTTAGCAAAGGCAGGTAACTAACCGAACTAACCTGCTAGAAGGCAGTGTTTGTTACTTTTGTTGTTGTCTTCTTTGAAGAATGATTGATCTAGTGATCATGAGCAGATCCTCAAGCTTTCCCTAACCGTTGAGGTAGACCATTTGGTCACAGCTTAGGTTAAGGTTGCGGGAGGCTGGTGAGTTTAATGTCTCAGTGGTAGACAATTATGGGCGGCCGTAAACAAAGACGGACGTTCGGACAAAATTAGTGCTCACTGAAGCCGAGTTCCTGACTGATGCTCTCAGCAGGACAGGGCCGTGTAAGTAGTCAGCGACAAAAAGAAAGAGTCGGCCATTATATGTCTCGACGACAGTGGCAACGAGTATGATGCGTTCTACTTGAGCCAGAGTTTGGGCTCTCGTGAGATAACGTACTGCGCTTCAGGAAAGGAGTGCGCCTGCATTGTGTAGAGCATTCATCAGTGGCAGTGTTATCTCAGAGGGGCTAAATTTAAAGTAGAGACCGACCAGTGTCTCCTTACTTGGCTGCAAACCATGACCTCGAAGAACAGTCGCCTTGTGAGGCGGAGCTTGATTCTTGAAGGAAAAAAAAATATCATTTTGACATTAGGTAAAAAAAGGGCAAATTGAATGGAAACGCTGACGTGCTCAGCCGCTCTTTCTAAGCCATTCTGGGGTGCTCTTTATGTATCAAAATTGATATTTTAGTTTTTTTTGTCGTGCATCTTATTATGAGAAGGTTTAAGATAGCACGTTTGATTTCTCAGCACAAGTGAATCCTGAGAGTTTTGAGTGTGAGCTTTTTGTTAAAGCTAGTAAAGAAAATTGGTTTGCCATCCCTCTTTTGGCTTGGTTGTTCGAAGGGGGCCGAGTACTTGCTTGTGCCTGTGGTCGAGTTTCAGAAACAGTGTCGAGGATTCGGCAATTACCCGGACCATGCCACAAGCGAAGGCCAGTTTCTGGCATTCAACTACTGACCTTTTCGTCGTCCCTGCGAGCAGCAGTGTTGACTGCTGCCCTCCGTGACTCATCTGGCGAGGGGGAAGCTGTTATGACCGGCATCAGTAGGCGCCATGCTGTCGCTGAGAAGCGTGGCCGGGCAGCGTTCCCACGCCTGGAACCCAGGTTTTCTTGGAACCAGCGTCGAGATCTGACGGGGGAGCGGCGCTCTTTTAACCCTCAAACAAGTAGCCGACTCGCCGAATGCTTATGCCCGCCAGGTATTGTCACGGCTAGCCGGCGGATGAGATGTCACGTCGCCACGAAGCGGTAAGCCGTTCCAGAGGGGACAACAAAGACAGCGTCTTCCTTTGTAGAAACGGCGACCGCCGCCACAAAGTGCCCTGCTAATTGAGCGGACAGATTGGCGGACCGTTTGATGTCTGCTGTCCGAAGCTTGGAACCCCTCGACCAGCGACATACACGACGAGCAAGAGACTCTTTGGCGCCACCTTTAAGTGCAGTGATCTTGACTCGAAATTGGCTGTTCACGTGCGCCGTGCATGCTCGTACCCCTCACCTGTTGTGTGTGTATGTGATTGGTGTTCCACTGAAGAAGGGGGAGCCCGACAGGGCTTATAACGGCGCCGCAGAGTGCAGGACGTCGCTCTGAACCAACTAAAGGTTTAACCACCACGTTCGTAGTGTGTGAACGCTCTGAACCAAGGAAAGGTTTAACCACCACGCTCGTGGTTTGTGAACTCTTAACCTCATGCTGTAAATATTTGTAAATAGTGCCATAAACCTTGTTTGTTTTTCGTATCCCCATCTTGTAAGCGGTCGTTTCCTCAACCCGAAGCTACACCACGCTACCACAGCTCACCGGGATCGCAACAACTGGTGATCAGCGGTGGGATCACGACAATGTGCGGGGCTAGACAGACCCCATACGACACACTATAATTGACGTCAGATGTCACGATTGCTTGCAATTATGTTCGATGACCAGCACTCAGTTGCAATGCGCACGCATGCGGGACTAGCGAGACCGGAGGTCCACAAGTCACACGGCCACATCCCTCGTTTCAAGACCAGAGCGGCGTGCATCCGCACAAAGGCGATCCTGCGGCGTGGCTTGCGCCCTCGGCCACTAAACGTGACAAACACTTGCCTGGCGCGGCCGAGAACTGCGAGAAGCTGGAGCCGTAGCCCGGGATGGCCCCCTGGACGGGCTGCAGCACCGTTAGCGACGAGAGCGGGCACGGTGCCTCGGCCTTGGCCGGTGAAGGGCTGCCCTGGATCTCGCTACCGGTCGCCGCGGCCGCTGGGGGAGGGAGAGGGGCAGCGTGCGGGACGCCGGCGCAGGCTTAGGGACAGGCAAAGCTTTCGGGGATGACACTACGCATGCAAGAACGGGCCGTGCCATGCGCCTCTCGCTGTTTTGCCTTTTCGGTTGGTCGGCTCGAGCTTCAAGTCGCTTCTTCGGCCACCACGCACTGGCGCACGTACGGAAATAGCGAAGCCAACTTGAAATTCGAGCCGTCACACCTGTTAGCTCGTCGCCTATGCGCATCTTTGTGCAAGCACTCGTCTACGCTCTTTGACAGCTGGCGCCGAGCGCTTGCATTTAGAAATGCCTATTCTTTTACTTTCTCAGTGATTAGTCTACGCGCAACGCGTGGTGCAAGATTTAACGTTAAGTCAATTTCACTGCTTTTTTTCCCCTTGCTTTATTTCACTACATAATCAACCAGCGTCGTCCATCACACCTTACATCACGTTTTCAGTTGCACGAGATCAGTGCTCTTGGTTGTGTGCGAGTGAGATGAACCACGCTGACAGTGACGCAGCAAGGTGAATTCTCTAATGCAGTGACAACTTGTTCGCGTTCTGTAATGGCCACTGATAAAGTTTCCTGCTATTATGTACTTATAGGTTTGAGGCTTTTGTTGCATCTTGTGGCTGCTAGCATCAAGCTTTACATGTATTACGTGAACGTACTTGAATGCAAGCTGGAGAAGGCTGCTTGCTTTCTCAATGAACAAGAATTCATTGGAAAATAAGAAAAACAAGATTGCTTCAACTTTATCTTGAGATGCATGCACCCTGCCGTGAGCCTCACAGAACACAGCAGTCATTAAAAAAAGGTCTAAGCCTTAGGCCGTAATAAATGACTTCGACATGTACTGACATGATTCAAACAAAATCATTCAGTGTTTTCATAATTTTCCGCATGTATCTATTAAACGCAATATAGCAAAAAGAAGTCCTTCGTTTGCGAATTCCTCAGTTACGTTAATTATTACTGCGAATAGTGTGTTTCAAGCATTTACACAAGTATTACTTGATCAAACCAACTGAGGGTTTAGGCCTTTAAAAAGAAACTCATAATTGCTTTTAGCGTTGATGTGAGCAGCCCTTTTGCACATGCTTAACCTCTTCATTTCATTAATGACATTAACGTGCTATCGCGATTCGCATGGCACGACCCGTACTTCATTCGCATAGAGGAAATGACACTGATTTCCAAAGAGCACTATATGTTGCTGGACTGCATGCATATAACCCTAATGGGGAACTTTAATTTAAAAACACCAGTACAAGCAGGGATCCTTCAGGGTGTCATGCATAACCCTGACTGAAAAGCACAACTTCAACTGAAACAAAGTCAAATAAATATATTGCTCTCACAAAGCCTTGTACATTGTACTGCGGCGGTTACCATGCAGTGAATGCGTTAACAAATATCTTCATTCGAATTAGATGACAAGCGACTGCTATGTATCCTCCTGTCCAGAGCTCCCATTTAGAAACGCCTAGCGATATATAATAATCCAGTTGAATGTATGTGAAATTCCGCAACGTGGGTTTCCAAGCACATCTCGAGTATCACAAGCAAACAAGGTATAGTAAAACATTCTAAGATCTGGAAATTTTGGTGGTGGACCGAATTCGTCTCTGTAGATAGAGATGCTGGGAAACCCGCAATGCGTTGAACTTCGCATAATGTCTTATAGTCGCCACTATCGTGAGTAATTCACAGAAATCCTTCCTCTATAACGTAGAAACTGTACAAGGACCCAAAGTTTCTGACTTTCTGATAATACGATCTAGCTATCTTTAACAGCTTTCCTCGTTAATAGAGAGAGCCATTCAGAAGGCACACAATCACGTGGCTTTATTAGCAATTAACAAAAAAAAACAATTTCGGGTGTCAAAGGAGACAGTTTGCGCCAGGTAAGCAAATAATTTGAGAAGCCTAAAACGTCTGAATACGAGCTGACATTTACCGGGCTATTTCTGTCCGAAGGGCTTCGCGTTTCCCATTGAGTTAGAAGCGAGCATTAGTCGGTTTTGCAAGAAGTGGAAATGGTTAGTTAGAAAGGGGACGTTTGCGATGCAGTGCCATGTGTTAGGCGCGCTGCCAAGCCCAAGCATGCATGCAGGGGTAGCCGCCGGTCAGACTCGCAAAAGTGCTGGCACAGAGCTTGCGAGACAGCCGGCCGTGGCCTCGAAACACATGCAGCGTCATTCACTTCACCTCCATCGCGCACAATTCGCCGGCTGTTATTCGAGACGCAAGCATACGCACGTATTCACATATTTAGAGTCGTTCCTGAAATCGGGTGCGCATACGCGATGCAGACGCAATCTAACAGGTTTCATTTCTTGTAATCCTGGGTGAAATGAAAATTCGAAAAACGAAAAAAAAAGTGCCTTGTAAGCAATACAATGAACGCCCTCCAAGCGATAATTACATCGGTACCATTTAAACGTTTTATCGCATTTGCGGCTTTTCATTCGATTGATGTGCTCAACTTGCATTATTAACGCGCCAGTGGATGCTTACAGGCAGCTGGAACTATTCTGTAGAGTTTTGCAGCTATTCCATCCAAAAAAAAAAATATTTCGAAAGCATTGTACAGTGTGCGCTGCGTCTGGAAGCTGTACATTATGAGGGTAAAAAAAAATTGCAGAAACGACCCATGTACTCCAACGACAAATTACAGTCTCAGAGTAGACAGCTCTATACAACTAAGTCAGCACTTATTGTACAGTTTCAAAGCCGCTTTATGGAGACAGTGTCATGATTATGAAAACGCGCCTCGTGAAAGAAAAAAGAACAAAAAAAAACCGACCAAATAAACCAAGAGAATTCCCTCCCAGCCCGGAATCCCCCACAAACCGTCCACTTGGACATTTCGCTACCTTAGTAAAATGTATCTCCAAGCCCAATGACCTACAATACCTCAAAGTGCTAAGCATAAGGCAGAAGAACAAAATGAACCTCATTTTCTGATAGCTGCAAAACCTAGTGTTCAGAGCTTTGTTTGCTCGTTTGTTTGTTTATTCATACCAGTAGGTCTTATTACTGCACTATGGTACTGCTAAAGTGAGTCCTTAAGGCTCACCTTCCCACCGCTGCTTCGTGTCTTACACATCAGCGCTCCCACGTCCCCATTGAGCCAAACACTCAGCCAGTGTGACGCGTATCTGTCGCAGAAATCTCGACATCGTTCCAGCCAGTCGCGGACTCAGGTTTAAACTTCAAAGGGCAAACCACAGTGGCGCCGCGTTTTTCTTTTCTTTTTTTTTTTTTTGTAGTTGTGGCCACCCGAACGAGGTCTTCCGAGAATCAACAGTTTGCGCGCTCCCGGTAACAAGAACGAAAGAGAACGCGGAGCGACATCTGAAACGCTTCAAACAAAGATGGCGCGAAAGAGAAGGCGCGCTTTCTTATCACGCCCTCCCACTTCTCGTCGTGCCTGCGAAGCGCGCTTCTTGACTGACGGGCCGACCGACGCGCGGCGGAACCCGTGCATCTCGCGTTTCGGCCGCCTTGTTGGCGGCCGCCGTCACTGTGCTCTCGTCTTCTCCGCATCACTATCGCGCTGTGCGGGAAAACAAAGGGGCTCGCCGCGGATGGCGATGCAGAGGAGGCAGCGGCGAACAAGAAGACGCCTGTCCTCTTGAACGCGATCGCGCGCAAGTCCTTTTCGCCTCTACTTATGGGACGACTCCCCCCCCCCCCCCCCCTCTTCTTTTCGTGTGCGTTCCCCTATGGGAAGAAGACAATGTCGAAGGCGGTTCTCCGCGACGTCCCCGCCTCCGCTCAGCTCGTCTCACGTTGCCTCGGCGATATCGATTGGCAGCCACAATCGCAAGGCCCCAAAAAAGGCTTCTCCGCATGCCGCCACCGTGTTGTCGTTGCTCGACCGTCAAGCCATAATATAGGCTTCAGCAAGGTAGCTATGGAAGGCGTGCGCAGATGCCCCTTCAACGATCAGAGGGAAAACAAAGAAGAAAACATTCACGGACATCTAAAAAAACGTGACTAAGAGAAGAGCTGATGTCGTATTCTTCGTTTCGCGCTTATACATCAGCGATTCCAACAAATGCTCCAAAGCACTGTCACCGCTATCGTCAGAGACATTCTGAATTAATGTCATCACAGAAACCTCGAGCCATAGCAGGCGCTGATCCTGATCGCCCACGTTGAAGGATTGAATAGAAAGATATCGGGCTTCGCTTGAGTCTTTCCAAAAACGGGCTCACCAGCCTTTCATAAAGAAAGTTCAAGCTTATCGCCTAAAGTGATGATATGAGTCCCTTGAGTCTGAAGTGACACACACTTCCAAAACTATACTTAAAATTTTGCACGTACGCGCAACACTTCATGCCATGCTTCGGATTACCGTGGCGAAATGGCATCACCTAAGAAAATGATGCAACGTGCTTTAGGCGTAAAAATGGCATGATAGTAACGCGTGGAGCTCTAATTTGTTTTTGTTTTTACAGCCATACCTCAAACATCATAAACGTCCATGCATTAAAGTAACGTGAGTAGCATAATATTACCGAAATAAAAAACAGTCTGATTTTGACACAGGAGCCGTCACATTCAGAAACGTACAGTATTTTTTTTTCATTGACTCATCGTATACAACATTGCCTCGTTTGCTTCTCGTCTCACTAAAGTTATCCGACTATTTTGTTAGAACATAAACCATATTTACCAGCAGGGTGCAAACGTAGAAACAAAGTGGTTACGTATTTAACAGGTGTGAAGAGGACGTTGAAGAAGTGTCAAGCAGTGATGAAAAATTGCCTTCTAACGAGAGTGTGAAATCGTGTTAAAAAGTGGTGGTGCGTTATTAACGTTGTTTTGTTAGTCTCCACATGTATGGGACATTTCAACTGTAAGTTAGTAGACTACATAACTGTCTCACGGGATTTACTAACACGTACTTCGCTCATCTCCGTCTGCTTCACTTGTGCGAGGGTTACTGCGCGAGGCAATAAACTACAAGAATAACATTCAATTGAACACTCGAGGCTCACGGAAATCCCAAGACATTTTTCTTCACCAACACAGCTGCATATATTGCTCGCGCTGCGTCCCTCAGCCCCAGTTAGTAATTCACCATGCTTTGTGCAGTAAAGAGTGTATATTGGTTGATGCACTCTCGAAGAGCTACGAGTTGAGAAATGACTTGATAGAAGGATACAGCAAGAAAAAAAACATTTTCGCCAGTGCTTTGATAGTGTAGACGCAATCGATGTCGAGGTTAATGTATTCGTCTTGTTTACTTTTCTTCTCTCTCACAGCATAGCTGAGAAATAAATAGCTTCAGTGGAGTTGGGTATATACCTGGATGGTAGGAGTGTGGATTTGGACTAGTTTCAATGAGCGACGCTCCGCTGTTGACAAGGGACTTGACTTCTTGCATGCTGATGGGCGTCAGAGGGGTGAGCGAATTGCTGCCTGTTTGGAACAAGATGCCAGCACACACACAAGCACACGCTATTAGCAAGGGCACAGCCGCTTTAAGGAAGCAACACAACTAGGCTCGAACGCGCTGTCATTATCCAAAGCAAGAAAAAAAAAGGAAAACGTCAATTCATGAATGTCAAACATAAATAAGTACAGCATAAAGATACCAGCATTCTGTCGCGCATGTGGAGTCCTAATGCATTATTTCTAACGAATAACGTCTTTGGTTTATGAACGTGACAAAATAATAAGAATAGAGTCGTGAGCCACGCTTTTCTAGCAAATTAAACTTATAGTGATCGAAAATACACCTTAGGTACAAAACTATTGGTATAGTTTGCTATTATGAGAAAAATAACTTAGTTATTCATGCTCATCTTCCTTGCATTCATAACAGATATGTGTAACAATACATAGGTCATTATTTTTGTTCTGAGAATGACAGCAATGAATTGGTGCTGCAAAACTCGAATAATCAATTCTTAACTTCTTCAACTTATGTGCATCTGTTTTTTTTTTTTGTCAGAAAATCTGTTAAAACAAGCGAGCGCTCAGAATAACCTGTTGTTTTTCACTTCTACAACGCCTCTAGATGAAACTGTGGAATAGTAATTATTCATGCAACACTGAAAGATGCCTTCAAAAAATCTGATCACTACCGCTAACTATGCATAAAATGAAGCATCTTCTCATCACAACATGAAATCTATATAATGCTTCCATCATTTTAAACTTGTTCTAAAGCAAGATCTATTTAACTTGAGTCTTTTCTTTCCTTTAGTGATAACCTGCCATGGTTTACCTGAAGAGATAAGGCGTCGCATATTTAAGCTTGAAGACGCGGGTTTGATTACCGGCCTACATTTCAATGTGAACAATATACAAGGTCATATCCTTAATTTTTTTAGGCGCACGTAAAGAAACTCTCGAATGGTCTAAAATAATTCGGAGCCCCCTACGACATTGTGTCTTATAACCGCATCATGGTTCTGGCACTTAGAACCATAGAACTCAGTTATTTTGTTGGGCGATGCACTTTCGGCATACTTTAAGGTCACTAACATCATGCGCATGAAAGTCATGACGTCATTTTTGACCAGAAAAGTTGCAGCGAACGCAGATTTTTTTCAATAAAAAATACCAATGACGATTCTCTTCGGGACAAGATAAACATGAACGAATGCAGTCTTTTCTTACATTACTGGTGAAATCGAAGCACGTATTTCTTTAGTAAGCATGATGCTCTTGTGCATACATGAACTTTATTATTCATTTTCTTCCCAAACACAAAACTATAGCGTTCCCAAGCGTGTACTGGTCGTCTTTTTTTTTTTGCATTCGTTCCAGAGTTCGCTTACGCATGCGTGACAGAAAGGCTGGTCTTGAAACTAAAAAAAAATAAATAAAGGCTAAAATAATGCACTAATTATAGGAGATTAAGACGCACAAATTCAGTAATAAATGAAAGTAAAGGAGAGATGCAAAAAAACCCTGAGAAGTGTGAGGAGCAGTGAAGAGAGTCAGAAAGCAGTGCGCAATGTTATGCAGCCAGCGTGTGCAGTGTGGTGCGCAGCAAATGAGAAAAAAACGCTCGGTTGCAACCAGACATAGCAGCAACAGTTTGCCCCGCGTGAGTCGACAGAGTTTGTTAAAAGCCATGGAGAGTGTTTCGTTTTCGAAGCCAAACAATCTCTTCGAGCGAGTGTTACTATACGAAAGAAAAAAAAAGTGCTGGTGCCTTCAAGCAGACTGTCGCCAGAATAGCGGTGCTTCACGTCGAGTTGGTGGAGTTTGCACAAATGCTGCCGCAGGTGAGCCTTAGTAACCAGCATCAGAAAGATAGAAAGAAGGGTGGACGTGCACCTGGTAACGTTCTGATCTTAAGCACTCGCCATTAGCTTCGCCTCAAAACGAAGAGCATCTTAATGCTTCTTACTTTTCGTAGCTTTTTTCTCGTATGAGAAACAGTGTTTCCGAGCTTTTTATTTATGCTGGACCAAAAGAATGATGTGCTGTCGCCGTCGAGCTGGTGCGAGAGCACATCTTCACTAGTCCGAAAATATACGCTACTGCGCCCACGTCGGTATGTTCGACGTGTTCGTAATAATATTAGTGTATTGACTTAGGTTGCGAAAGTGAAGTAGATGTGAAAACAAAAAAAAAAATGTTACACCGACTGGCGTTCACGAAATCGATTCGAAGCTGTTTTTGTATGCCAGGCCGAACATTAAAAAATTCATGAAGGCTGTAGCTGTACTTGTCCTATAAACAACGGAAATACCAGCACCTTGAAGCTGAAAGCCGGTTTTGCTTACTTATTTTTCTTCGAACGGAGAGCACGACAGAAACATCGCATGATTGGCATGGTCCAGTGTTGCGGCACCGCCGCTCCATGGCTATCAAACAAGATACCCAAGGCCACACACGACAATGCCCTTAACGCACGGGCCAGTGACTGCGGGTTCGTGCTTTTAGGGCGCCATCTGTGGACGTTATTTGCACTGCAACGATTACGTGACGTCCGCATTGGAGCCAGTCGCGAGCCAAGACGGCTGCCGCCCGGGCAACAGCTGCGCGTCGTGTGAAGTCAAGAGTGAAGCCAGCAGGGCGTCGCACGGGGCTGCTGACCGAGTCTCAGGTGAGAGCGGGGAGGGAGAGGGCGTTGCGCCGCGTGACACATTATACGCTGCTCAAGCGTTGCCTCATCTCGCCATCTCGAATTACTGTGGAGACATCGATCTGCCAAACAGGGACCGTCGCTGAGCAACTTTAATGTGCTATTTCACGGAGGCGCGAGTGTACTGTAAAAATAGGTGGTAAATGTGGCAACGACGAGCTTTCATCATGTTCGGCCTTCGCCTCATGGCATCATGAGTGAGCGTAACTTTTGGCCACGCTTTCCTTCGCATTATTTCTTGTGTGGAACTACTGCATACAGGTTTTGATGATGCGTCAGTTAGCTCGGAGAAGCTTGCGCGTTTCGAGATTAGTGGAACCATGCTATTGTAGAATTTTCTTTTTGGGGGGGCGGGGGGAGGGAGGGTCGCAACAACACTCATGCCAGGTAACCGAGCCCCACCGTAATCGGTGACGTAGAAAATGAAATGTCATAACGTGAAACAAAAACAACTGATGTGATATGGACTTCAGACATCTTTAGTTCAGTGAAAGCTAGACAGCGCCTCCTGGCGCTGTCTAGCTTTCACTTAACTACCCAGTTTCGCCGATATCGGCGTATAAGGGCTGCAAAAAAAAAAAGTGCCCCAAGAATAAAAAGACACGAAGAAATGCTTCGTGGTTCATCACTAATTGCCACATCACATGGAAACTTGCAGACGACGGACACTTTTACTTCTTGCTATAAAATGCAACATCACGGCTAATGTTTATCGCGCCTACCCATCTTTGATCATTTCTCTCACTACGCTATGCGTTATGGCGCTGCTGTCACAGCAGGAAGTTCACAGAAGGAAGTGTGTCATAGCGTTTTGGCGCTGCTGTCATAGCAGCGCCTTGCCTATATATAGGCGAATCGCGCTATTTCTGCCAAAACAGAACAGCTAATTTCGTGTTCTTTTTCGTTTTCTGTACATTTTTTGCACTTTCTGCACCCCGTATTAACATAGTTTTGCGAGATACACCCTGAATACTGTAGTGGAAACATGCATTACTATTCAAGTTCATGAGAGTGCATACACCCAGCATTTTTAGCGATCGTGTACAAATGAAAGTGGCCCATCCGGATGTTCCAAGGTTGATAATTTTCAAGGATCACTGTTGCTCTAAAAACGACCCTTTATTTCGTACCATGTACGTATAGGGCTAAGTTTCTTTTTGTATGCGCTGCAAAATATGTTCAGATTCACTCATGCTGAACACCCGCTGAACTCACTTTGCAATATGCAACCATGCGCTTCTCTCAGAGTGCCAACATATTTGTCTGCGAAAGCAACGTCAATGAATGATAAGGTCCGCATTATAATGCATTGTTCGTGTATAACACGAGGCTATGAACCTATGTTTTCTCACAGACGACGCGAAAAATCATGTTGAGTGCGACGTCGACGGGCTGTAATCTTCCGCCCAATACACTCGAATAATCAAACGAAAAATTGCGCTTCTGGTCGTTCGCAGGAGCATGAAATTTTCGCCCTAATCGGGCAAACACAACGCAGCTATTACAACATCCCTCTTACGCCTCAAACTCCAAACACAATCACGCAGTCTTCGTTCTCTTAGGAAACACGCCTCAAAGCGCAGATGATCTGCGATTAGCCGGAGCACCACGCCTAATGCGACGGTGCCTCAGAAAAGCCCGTGAGAGGCGAGCGGACGCTGAGCTGGCGACGTGAGCGTGCTTATCTTCAGCGCAGCCCGATCGTCACGGGAAGCTTCCGATGGCGGCAAGATGTTCGCGCGTCTCATCTTTGCCTGTAAGCTTCGCCGGCAGCGCAACAAGCAGCCCCACGACTCGGGACAAATGAGCCATTCTTGCTTAAAGGCTCTCACCCGAGCTCTCTCTCCCTCTCGACACCCTCGAACGTCATTCATAATCGGGCAAGAAACAAGCCATTTCTCGCCTCCCCGCTGCCTTTTCCCTGCACTGGCCTGTAACGAACTTCATCAGCCTTCGTCGCCTTCGTTTCTCGAGCTCTTTTTCTTTCTTTTGTTTCGAAACAAACGCGCCGAGAGGAAGAATTGAACTGTGGCTATGAAGGAGCACGAGCTCGATATCAAGTGTTCCTTGCTGCTATGGCTTTCTTTTTCTTCTCTTCCAGATATTGAGTCGTTTCCGAAGTTTCCTTCAAGCAAAGTAGGGAGCAAAGGAGATACGCTATTATAGAAAGGATGGTGAGCTTCCCCCCTCCTTTTTCTTTTTTTTTTCTGTTGAAGCTCTCGTGTTCTTATAAGCAACCATCTCTCTGTGTTTTCTTTCGATACTCGGGAGGTACGAACACGCGCCGTTACAATATACACGAATTTCTTCATAA